CACACACACACACACACACACACTCACACTCACACTCACACTCATACAAACACACACACACACTCACACTCATACAAACACACGCTCACACTTACTCAAGCCACAAGATCACCTCTTTTCACATTACCACGTTAATACATTAACACACAGCAGTTATTTTATTATTATTTATATATGATTTTAGTATTCATTAATATTTTGAATTAGCTTTTGTTTTTATATTTTCAGTTTTCATTGTGCTTTTGTCATTTTTATTAGTTTTTTAAATGTTTTTATTAATTCATTTTATATTTATTTCGGGTGTTGTTTTAGTAATTTTAGTACATAAACTTATTCCAGTTAGTTGAAAAGACAACATTTCTAATACAGTTTTGTCTGATATTTATAATTTAATTTAATTCTGCTTTATTTCAATATTTTGAATTAGCTTTTTTTATATTTTCAGTTTTCAGCTTTTGTCATTTTTATTATGTTTTTATATTTCTATTTAGCTTTATTTTATATTTCAATTTTATTTCATTTAGTTGAAAGGTAACATTTTGTTTTGTTTTTAAGATACATTTTTTCATCTAATATTTATATTTAACTTACTTTCACTTTCTTTTAATATTTTGAACTAGCTTTTGTTTTTACAGTTAAAGTTTTCATTTTAATTTTAGTTAAATCAGTGCAATTTTTGTTGTGCTTTTATCATTTGTTGTGCTTCTTAATATTACTATTTACCTTTATTTTATATTTATTTCAGTTTTTTGTTTTAGTAATTTAAGTACTTAAACTTATTTTATTTCAGTTATAGTTTTTAATTTCAATTATAAGTTTCAATTTCACATTTAATATTTATATTTGAAATTACTTACCCTTTATTTCAATAAACAAATATTATTTTTAATAGTTTTACCATAATAAGGTTCTTTACAATAAGGCTCCATTTGTTAACATTAATTAGCTATATTTGTTAATATGAACTAACATTGAAAAATGCCTATAAAGTCTGTATTAATTTTAACATTTATTAATACATTATTAAAATCCAAAGTTGTATCTGTTGATATTATTCAATGCACTTGAACAAACATAAACGAATAATAGAGTTTCTGAAGGTTAAAAGATTAATAAACATTTGCATGAACTAAATACTCGGCTAACAAAAATATTTTCTAAGAACGTTTTGCTAACGTTCCCATTAAGTTATTAAAAAAACGTTATTTCCGAATGTTCTCTGAACGTTAAACGTGCCGTTACTTTATTACATGAACGTTATGGGAACATTACATTTGATCGTTTTTATCTATGGCAACGTTACTTTTTAATATTCTCTGAACGTTCTGAAACTAGTAACATTTAAAAAAAAAAAAAAGAACGTCCAACTAAAACGTTTCAGAAGAAAAACGTTCCATGAACACTGTATAAGTGACGTATTGAGAACACGAGTAAACTTTGTAACTTTGAACTGAACGTTACACGTTTGTTTGTAACTTAGAACGTTAAAGTGTTACCAGTGTTACTCGTCTAAGAGCTCTACTTGCATATATACATTATTATTCCAAGTCATAATAGTACACATATAAGAGAATAAATATTCACCTGCTGAGCGAGTGTGTGTTCGGTGTTTCAGGAGCAGAAAGGAAAAGACTGAAGAGAGAGAGTGTGTGTGTGTGTGTGTGTCTCTGTTTCGGTCTGTCAGCATTCCTGATGTGAAATGTTGAGACACATATGTACATGTGTAGGATCATATTCTCCTGAGCTGGGCTGCTTCGTCTCTCTCTCTCTGAACAGGTGTCAGCCTGCGAGTGTTTGTGTGAAAGTCTGCAGTTTATTCTGGTGTTACACTGGACGGAGGGGCGGGGCTGTGGGCGGGGCCAAGGCCGGGGGCGGGGTTACGCGTCACACTCGCACATGACCGCGTTAAAAATCTTACAACAAAAAAAAAACATTTATGGAGCACAAAAAAAGCAGTGTTTTAAACTTCAAAATTAAAAGTTTTAATCTTGTGCTGGCGTCCACATAAATTAAAAACTAAAATAAATAATATAATAATATAGAAGCCATGAACAAAAGGGCTGGAGATAGTCCTCACTATGATAAGAGAAACTTAGATTCTATCTTATGGGTAAACTTATATAGTATAGTAACCACTGAAATCTTTGTGGATTAGTGAAGATCCCAGCACGTACCCATAATATGAAAACTGTATACATTTTATAATATACCCCTATTTGTTTATCTGGTATATAAATGTTTCTTATTGTCTTCCTCCATAACATGTTATGATGAACATTCTGCATACACTTTCTTTTCCTTATCATTTATTTATTTTTACGTTTTTGTTACTTTTATTGTTGTTGTTATTATTATTATCTGTTGTTCTGTTTTGATCCTGGTTTGTAATATGGCTTGTGTGCTGCTAAGTGATGTGGACATTAATTTAAAAAATAAATAAATATAGAAATACAAACAGAAATAGAAAAATACAATAGACAAACAATATTTTGACCATTAAATTAAATATATACTATTAGTGCTTATCAGTATTTTAAACTGGTTTTAATTTTTATATTTTCCGTTTTTATTTTGTTATCATTTTGCCGTGTGGTGTTTTTTAATTTATATAATTAAATAAAAAAAATAGTTTATAATTTTTATTTCAGTTTCAATTTTAGTAACCCTAATATGAATATACTCTTCATCAATAATATTAACAAACTTCATATTTCATAATGCCTAAAAGATGATTAATTAGTGTAAATTCAAACAGTTACATTATATTTAAAACAAGTGAACAGTTGAGCATGTTTGCTGCTGACTTATTAATAAACATTATTTTAAAGTACAACTTAATTTTATTAATAAAACCAAATACAACCAAAGTAAAGCATTGGTATTAAAGTTTTTATGTTCAGTATAAAACATTATAAAACAATAACAGCAATGTTATTTTAGCATCATTTATATACTGTTTTTTTATATTTAATTTTTTTTGTTAGTTTTTAATTATTTGTAATCCAAAACGAAACCAAACAAGAATTAGAAATGCCTTGGCAGCTGAAATAAAACAATTTAAATATACATATTTAATTTTGGTTATAGTTTATTTAATTTCAATCAACGGAAATGTTTTGAGTGGTTTTAGTTAGTTTAAAATGGCCTGGGCTGGGAAACACTCATTGCTTGGGTGTAATGCATGTGTTCGGCCACAGAACGGCAGCTCATCGGTGTCTCAGCAGAACATCTGAGCTGAAGTCTCATATCTCGTCTCGGACACAAACCGGATTCATGTAAAAAGCGTAACCCTGTTTTAACCTGTGACACAAAAGACTGACATTAACCTGTGAGTCAGACACACACACACACACTCACACACACTACACTCTCTCTCTCACACACACACTTAAACTCACTGTACTTTGGGAGGAGTTCACATGTCAGAACATCTGTCTCAGGTCCCGCAAACAGAGAGTACAGATCAATGAATCCTAAGAGTTCTCATTAAAGTCTAGATGAACCCTAAACTTTGCAATCCGATTCACTTATTCGCTTACATGTGTACATGTGTATTTATGTGCTTCACATTCTGCTCTGATTTTGAGGTAAAATCTGTCAAAATAAATATGTTAAACGTAGCTGATGGTACCAACACTTTATTGCTATACGAAAGCAGAATGACCAATAATATTTAATAAATATGCAAGGCAATTTGGTCCAATTCTGCACAAATCTGCAAATTCTTGGTCATAAAACATTAAATAAAGATGTGGATGTCCTCATGAATATGAATGTTGACCTGTCCACTTCTGCGGGAGTTTCATTACACACAGTGTGTGTG